TCGGTCTTATGTTTCACCCCCATGAACACTTGCCTATTCACAAAGAAGTTATTGCTAGCTAGATTTTTTTCTCCCTCTATCATCACCACTAATACAGTCCAAGACGGTGTGAAGCCAGGCTCTGGCCCCAAATGGTTTCTTTAGAATAGTGATTCTCACGCAAAATAGTGTGGCTATGGGGTAACACCTTCCCCACCCCCACCTCCCACCCCCTTCTCTAGGCTAGGCGGGTAAACCAGGCTTGCTCCCTGAGAGCCATCCTTTGGGACATGGCGAGCACCCACATTCCGTCTTTTCCCAGAATGAGGGGCCTCGTGCCTCCCCACCCACCCTAGAATCCTTTTGGGGGTGCTGAGTAACTGTCTTTGTTTAGTTAGTGATGATGGACGGCCCGACCCTTGTCCCCACACCCACCACCTTCCTCTCCCCAGTATTATCACCCACCCAATGTCTGAGGCCACGGGGAAGCTGGATGCTTACCCACTTCACATGGCTCCCCCTTTTTGCATCTTCAAATTCTGATGGGCGATGCTTTGTGGTTGAGTCAAATTAGACTCCTACCCCAGGATCCCACCCACAGTGAATTTCCTAAAGCCTGGGAGGAACAGGTCACCCCATTTCTCTCCTAATCCCCCCAGGATGCGGTTAGAACTTTTCAGCTTGAAGACTTTCACCTCAGAGACCCCGCCTCCTCCTTCCACAGCTTTCTTCACATGGGGTCTCTTTTGTAGGTAACCCACACTCTAAACCCACTTTCTTACCTGCTGGCCTTTGCTCCTGCTGATTCTTCTGGAATGTACAGGCTCATTCTGGACTCAGAACCCAGGTTGCTGACCTTCTACTCTAGTGGAAGATCTTCTATCCCCCTGCTATTCTGAGCCTGGCCAGGCTCTACTGATTCAGGCCCAGTGGGGAGATTCCAACTGGAATCCAGCTGCCAGGCACCCCTAGAGGTTGCTTCAGCGATGCCCCTGCCTCCTGCCCATCATGGAGCACTACACCCCCAGATTCCGCTGAGGCCTTCTTTCACAGTAATCCCCTCTTTTCAGCAGACTCTTGTGACCATATCAAAAGAGGAGGGAGGGGCCCTCCCTGGTGGCACAGCGGGTTAGGATGCAGCACTGCAAGCCGGCCACAGACACTTCAGTGCGAGTTCAACCCCTGGCCAGGGAGCTGACCCACAGGGCGCGGCAGACCTCACCTGACCCGCCCGCTGCTCCCCTCAGCAGTGTACTTTGTCTATCTGTCTGTTCTGCTCCCCTCTCTGTCTCTGGGGAATCCTCTCACCGCCCCTGCACCTCTGGCCTGTACCCCAGTTCTGTATGCATGAATTGAAAAAAAAAAGAGCGAGGGGGCAGGATGGAGACACAGCGAACAAATAAACATTGAACTGAAATGTCTATGTCCCAGGAAGATGATTTTAATCATCTCACTCAGTCATCTCAAACCCCTTGGGTGTCATCTCTCCCGCCTCATGGATGAGGAAATAGTGCTAGAGAGGCAAAGTGTTCTTCCCAAGGTCCCTTCACTACTGAATTAGTTAGCCAAGGAACACTAGTCGCTGTAACAGGTGCCAAAGACAACTTGATACATTTCTTTTTCCCCTCAGCCACCCCCAAACTCCGGTGGGGTGGCTGCAGCTTGTGACTGGACAGCTCCTTGAGACTCCACCCCTCTCACGGTCACGCTACCTTCCCATCCCAGGTGCCAGTGGAGGAGAAGAGAGAACATGAGTTTCACATGACAGGTTTTGGGGGGTCAAGTCTAGAACTAGCAGAGAGTGCCATTTGGCCCAGGTACCACGGGCCAGGGCTTAGTCACACCCTCGGGGGAGTGGAGTGTGTCGAACAAGTTCTGTGAGATGAAGGAGGAGAACCCGAGTGCTCCCTTTCCTTGAAGTGTTTGGTGAACAACACGGGAGGTGGAACAACACCTCCGATCTCAGGGTCCAGTACCCAAGGATCCCTCTGGAGGTTAAGGCTGGTCGCCCAGGTGTGTATTTGCCCGCGGAGGAGGGCCAGGTGAGGCCTGCATTCTGGAATGTCAAGTGAGAACGTGCCCTCCGCTTTGACCTGTACTGGGAACACCTCTGTGGGTCAATTCCACCTTAATTCTCTGAGTCAAAAACCCCACCTCCTACCAGAAATATCACTTTACTGTTCTCAGTGCTGACACCTGATACGTGGCACAAGCAGCGTGGGGAGGCCCCAGGGCTGACCCTTTGGGCATGGGGTTCTGGGGGTGCTGGCAGAGCCAGGTGGAGAGGCCCACACTGGCCGTTTACCACCTCCCAGAGGTACTCGGCATCCGGCCACTGGTCCTACTCGCTCAAGCCCATTGTTTAGGGTCTCTTGTAGCTGCCCATGGCGCGCACCAGGGCAGGGAGACGGCCTCCCCTTCGCCTCTTCACCCTCGCTGGGTCTGCCAAGTGTGCGGGGAGCTCAGGCCCCTAATGTGGGAGCACAGGGTGGCACAAAACAGGTGACTGTGGGACCCCCCCACCCCGGGGTGGCGTGAGGGGTTGAATATCAGCAGTATGAAGCTATCGCAGCCAGGGCGAGTTCCACCCCCACAGGGAGTGACCCCCAGGGCGCAGCAGACCTCTCCTGACCCGCCCGCTGCTCCCCTCAGCAGTGCATTTCAGTTGATCTGCCTGTTCTGCTCCCCACTCTGTCTCTGGTGAGTCCTCTCACCCCCCCCCACACCTCTGGCCTGCACCCCAGTTCCTGAACGCATAAATAAGTAAATCTTTTTTTAAAAGAACAGATGACCACTGCATGCGGAGCGGAGCGGGGCTGGGCTCCACGGCTGACGGCGAGGCTGGCGCCCCCTCCCTGCGGCCACTCCCTCTGTCCCTCGCCCCCTCGCTCACTCAATGCCAGCCGCACCTCACTGGCCCTCATGTTGTGTGATCACAGTGCCACGAGGAGCCGACTCATGAGGGGGAGCGGTGTTTGCAGGGAGGAGACTAACGTTCTTGATGTTCAGTCTCGCAAGACTGGAAAAGGTTTTGGTGCAGCCAGGGGCGAGCTGCCCGAGGACGTGGAGGTTGTTGGTGCCAGGGAGACAAGCTGGTGGCACTTGTGTAGCACACGCCACCGTTCAGTCAGTGCAGCACACGCCACCGTCCAGTCAGTCAAGACTGAGGGAAAAACAGCTGAAGGGGGCCCAAGGCTGAAGGCCCAACTCCCTAGATGGTGGTGGAGCATCTGCACAAGCCGGTCCGCTCAATCGGGTTGTGGCTGTCATCAGTGTAACCAGAATAAAGATCTTGCTATCACCATGTTATTGGTATTTTTAATATAAAATAAGAAGTGGCCACAACTCCGTGGCCACAAAACAGCAGAAGATTGCAAGTCTCACTTTTCCCCACTTACTGCTGGACATTCTTGGCCTCAGTTTCCTCTACTGTAAAATGGGGGTAACAGTGTCTACCTCATAGGGCTGTGGAAGGAATACATGATCGAATAACTGGGAAATAGTGCAGCACTGCCCGGCACAGAGTAAGAGGCTCATAGAGCTCAGCTATTTTGTTTGCAGAGTTCATAATTCTAATATCAAGCCTATTAGTAATGGTAAATATTTACTTTTTAAAGCTGCTGGGCTCCCCTCCCCTCCACCACCATAACTAGAATGGAGGCTTAAAGTGCATCTAGATTGGAGATCATAAAATTAATTGTCTGCCTGGTATGGTTTTGAGGGTGAAAGGCGAATTGTTAATAATTACGCTCTCCCACCCCATCCCCGCCAAGACCAGCGTTGCTGTAACTCACCACTCCACAGGGGGGCGGCAGAGAGCTAGACGCGTTGCTGATGTTACATAAGCAGGGTTCATTGGTTCACACACAGGGCAAGCTTCCCTTTGGGTGACCTGCAGCGCTGAAGCAAGAAGCAGCGAAAGCATGTGGGCCTTGACTCCAGCACATTCTACACTCTGTCACCTGAGTGTGGCTGAGCCCAGCTCTGATTCCCTGCTCCTGCCAGGTGTGGTGGTGACAGGGGGTTGGCAGAAATGACCTCCTGGTCCTCACCTCCTCTTGCACCTGTCACAGAGGAGACAGACTGGTGGGGGACAAGAGGGAACCTCTAAAGATATAAGGCAGAGGGCCCTCCCTGGTGGCACAACGAGTGAAAGCGCAGCACTATGAAGCTCCTGCAGCCACTGTAGCACCAGTTCGACCCCCAGCCGGGGAGCTGACCCACATGGCGCGGCAGACCCCTCCTGACCCGCCCGCTGCTCCCCTCAGCAGCGTATCTCAGTCCATCTGCCTGTTCTGCTCCCCACTGTCTCTGGTGAATCCTTTCACCCCCACATCTCTGGCCTGTACGCAGGTCTGTATGCATAAATAAATAAATCTTAAAAAAAAAATAGAAAGCAGAAAAAATATATAAATAAGACCACCTTCCTGCTCTGCTCAAAACTCCCTCGTGAGTGAAGCCCAGACCCTCCACCATCTGCCCCATCACCTCTCTGCTCTCCTGTCCTCCCCCGCTGCTCACTCACCCTGTGCTAGGGCCAGACACCCGCCTCCTGGCTGCGCCCCAACTCCAGGCACATCCCACCACAGGGCCCTTGACTGGCTGTTCCCGCTGCCCGGGGCCCTGCGCCCTGACACCACTGCCCCTGCACGCCAGTCTCGGTCTCCTTTGTTATGTTTCTGATCAAATGCTCCCTTCTCAGAGAGCTCCTCCCAATCAGTCACCCCACTGAAAGCCACAAGGGGCCCCACTCACATTCCTGCCCTTCTAATCCCCACTCCCCAGTTTTATCACTTTCTGACACCCCCCAAAGAGTTATTCCTGTCTCCTGATCATTATGGATTCTGTCCCCCGCTAGACACGCACGTGAACGTCACCTCCACCAGGGAAGGAGGCTTTTTCTGTTGCTTGTATCCTCAGTCCCCCATATAGCACCTAGAACACAGCAGGCGTTCCCTAAGTGCATGGAGCGAAGGGTCTCTGAGGCGCTCTTATCACCTTACTTCACATTCATCCAGCAAACGTTTATTGAGCACCTACTGTGTACCAGACGCTGTTTTAGGAGTCGGGACACAGCAGTGAATGAAGGAAGCGCCATACAGAGGGTCAGCCTCCAGGGCCTGCCTGGGGCCCTCTGGAGCCCCTGTGGGGTGCAGCTGGGGAAGGAAGCCACCATAAGGGAAGGAAGGGAGGTGCGTCAGGGCAGGTGTGGTGGCTCAGGTGGCAGGGCCTGGGCTCTGAAGGCGCTGTCTTGGCTGCAGAATGATCTGGAAGGGTGGGGGCTGCTTCCCGAAGCCGCTCTCCTGGGGCTGCAGGTCCAGGGTGGCCGGAGGCAGTGGCGAGGAGGGTGAGAAGCTCTGCAGCAGCCATGTCAGGTAGAGAAAGAGCTCCGCCCGGGCCAGAGACTCTCCCGGGCATGCTCGGCGGCCTGGGGGAGCAGGAGGGGTCCAGGTGAGGAAGGAGTGCGGGGGTGGGGGGAGACACAGACCGAAAGAGACCGGAGATGAGGTCTGGCACATGACTTCAGGCCATGTCACCCCAGCCAGCCTTTCCCGCCCGCCTTGGGCACATCCGTTCTCCCAGGAGCCCAGATGCTCTGGACCCTCGTCCACCTGTGAGGGCACAGTGGTCCTTTGGGGATCTGCAGGGCCGCAGGTTCTAGGCCCCCTGTGTTACCCAATTCTGAGGCTGCTCTGGTCCCTTCTATAAAATGAAGTTCTATTTTGTTTTTGCAGTAACAATGCATTAGAATGTTCTACAAGTTCCAGGGTTCATCATGGAAAACTAGCATGTCTCTACTCCATTAAGGTCACTGCTAAAAGTTCAGAAAAATAGCGTAGAATCTGCATCCAGCCGATGCCTATAGTCCTCTGCTATGTTAAAGCATCTCTAGGTGACCTAATGCAATATGAATGCTATGTACACGGCTGTTGTGCTGTGTTTGGGGAGGAGCACGGGGCAAAGTCTGTGTGTGTCAGTACAGACGCGACAGCAGCCAGGTTGGCTCACACACAGCCCAGCAGGCGCCAGGAGGGCATCGCTTTGTTCAGCTGTGACCACAGGATTAACTGACCTGCTGAGTTCCTAGGGGAGCTCATTTTCCATGTTCCTCACATCAGAAAGCCACTCCTTACATCAGGCCTCCCTGATGGCGCAGGGGTTAAAGCCTCAGCATTACCAAGCTATCGCCAGCCACTGCAGGAGTTCAGGCCAACCCCCATGGCACAGCAGACCTCTCCGGTCTCCCTGCTGCTCCCCTCAGCAGTGGATTTCAGTTGATCTGTCTGTTCTGCTCTCCGCTGTTTGTTCTGCTCTCCGCTCTGTCTCTGGTGAATGTTCTCACCACCACCCTCCCCCCCAACTCTGGCATAGACCCCAGTTCTTGCATGCATGCATAAATAAAAATAAACCTTTAAAAAAAGCGGAGAGGTTCAGAGAGAGACAGCGTCCTTCCTGAGGCCTCCCAGGAGCCGCTGGCCTGGGGGAGCCCATGGACTGACCTGCAGAGAAGGGCAGAAAGGCAGGGTTCTTTTGAAAAGCTCCGTTGGCATCCAGGAACCTCTCAGGCCGGAAGGAGGAGGGGTCTTGGAACCAGTCGGGGTCATTGAGGACAGAGTGGAGTACTGGGAACACCATGGTGCTCTTGAGGGGAGGAGAGTCTGGTCAGATGGTCACAGCTGCTGCCCAGACGGCACCCATGGGGAGCAGCTGGGCCAGACGGTCACAGCTGCAGCCCCAGATTAGCGCCCAGAGGTGGACTTCCGGTCAGTTGGCCCAGCGCTCCCTGGTAGATCAGGGTGAGGACTGTGTGCTCTGGGGTCAGCAGAACTGGCAGCTGGCCCTAGCCCTGTCCCTTCCTCGTGGGTGATTCTGAGCCAGCGGCTCTCTCTGAAATGCAGTCTCTCTCTCTCCCCCCACCCCCACCCCGTAGAGTGTTCATTACGACCTGACCCCGGAAGTCAAGGAGCAGAAACGAGTCTCTGGACATATAATAAACAGACAAGAATTGGTGATAACTTCGCAGGGCCACCACCTGAGGTCCCAGAGATTGGGCCTCAGGCCCGCTGACCCCAGGAGGCCCCTTCCTTCCATCACCTGCGCCTCAGGCCCGTCCTGGAGCGGGCGCCTCTTACAGTTCTCCCAGGGCTAGAGGCCGCCGGTGTCATGCGGACCACCCGGCCGCACAAGCTGAGCCCCCACTTATTCAGAGCCTGCGTGCTGGTAGCTTTCTAACCTGTCCCGGAGTTCTTCACCTCTCCAAGGAAGGGCACGCTGATGGCCATTCAAGCAAATAAGCAGCGTCCAGCTAACACGAAGAGCACTCAGGAGCTTTCGGGTGGGCAAGGCATGGGCCTCCCTTGGCTAGCCTCTTCCCCGGGCCCTGCTCCTGCCAGGGGAGGGAATAGCCCCCCTCGGTGTCACAGAGGGCCCAGTACCTGGCCACACTGACCTTCGGCTGCTGGGAGACTGGGCTCTTGGGACCTGATGTTCCTGTCACCACTCAGGCCTGGAGAGAGGCCTGTCAGTGTGTCGGAAACAGATGGAGGCTGCATATATGCCCAAAAGAAGGGAGAGCAGAGGGCTGAGAAGTTCCTGCACCCCTAGGCTCCCGGGGGCCTGATTTGGCACGGCCCATGGGGAACCCCCTGTGTGCCTACCTTGGGGGCGGAGTGTGCTCACAGAGGGCAGGGTGGGCCTGGACTTATCTCTCCAGGCAATTCCAGGACCAAACCTAGTTTCTAAAGAGTCCCATCTCCACCCCCTTTCACCCCAAAGTACACAAATGCCCCACTCGGGCCAAGTCAGACAGATCCTTCCTTCAAACTATACAACCAGCCTGCTCATTTGAGGGCCACGAGGGATGCCCATCATCAGCTGACTTCTGAGCAAGTTCTGAAGAAGAGGAGGGAGGGAGCTGAGATTGTCTTTGAGGGGAGGACAGAGCTGAAGGGGGGAGCAGGGGGAACAGCCAGTGCAGAGAGCCCCGGAGAGGGAAGTCCTGGCAAGTGCAAGGACAAGGAGGAGCCAGCTGTGCTGGAGTGAGCTAGGAGGGAGCAGGAGGTCACCTCTACCATGCTGGGTATTTGGTTTTGACTCGAAATGAGTTAGCAGCCGTGGGGGAGTTTTATGCTGAGGAGAGATGGGACTGAACGCCACTCTGTCTCTAGGTGACCCATAGACTGGTCAGGGTAATCGAGTGAGTGAGACGTTGGAGCAAGACTGGATCAGCTCACTGGATCTTCACAGCCCCAAAGCAAAGCAGCATTCTGGCGCCCACTGTACAGGAGCGACTGCTCAGAGAGGCTGAGTCACTGGCCTAGAGTTGCACAGCTGGAAAGTAGAAGCACAGGGAAATAAAGTGACTCCGCAGCCCTGGTTCTCACTGGTTGCACTTTGGTGCCCCTCTGGGGAGCTGGCAATCCTACCCCTGCTTGGGTTGAGGAAGTGGGGCTGGGAACCAGATCTGGAAGGCTCTGCAGCCTCGTGTGAAGACGACTGGCCTGCCGTTCTGCCTGAGACACCAAAACTGCAGCTGAGCCAGGAGGCCCCTGCCTGTACCTTGGGGATGTGGTATCCTCGGAACTGGGTGTCCTGGGTGACAGCATGGGGCACGCCCAGAGGTATGATGTCTGCGAACCTCAGGATCTCGTGGAGCACAGCCTCCGTGAACGGCATCCGGGGCCTGTCCTCCAGGCAGGGCCGTCTCTCCGGCCCCACCACTCGGTCAATCTCTTGTTGCATGAGCTCTGCTCCGGTCAGTAAAGGGCGAGAAAAGACAGTTATGACTGTGGGAAGGCTTGACACGCTGGCACCTACTCCCACCTTCAACTTCCCAGACTTCCAACCCAGGGTCGCATCAAGGGCGGCCGCCCTGCACCCGCCGATGATGTGCCCCTTCAGAAATGCGCTACGAGCTCTTGGTCCTTGTTCCCAACTTGACAACTCGGGCCGTGAAGAGAAAGGGCTGGTTCTAACCTGTGACCTGTGGGTACTTCAGGAGGGTCAGGAGCCCATATCTCAGGGCAGTGCTGGTTGTCTCCAGGCCCGCAAAAAAGATGTCGAGAGCAGAGTTGAGCAAGTTCTCTTGGTGGAATTCTGTGTGGGGATCCCCTTGCTCCTACATACAAAAGTGCAGACTGTCAGAATTCGAGAGGAGCCGAAAGAGGCCGTCCAGCCAGACCGGGGATGGCAGGCGAGTGGCGCTCCTCACACACACCCACTTCTGGAGTCTTTGCCCACAGCAGGCATCACCAATCAATTCTAGCACTCTTTGTACTAAGCCTCAGACCCCCATTACAAACAGGCAAAACGGACACATGAAGCTTATTTATAGTTCTAGATCTAGAACAAAGGCTGCCCTCGTAGCACACCACTTTACTGGGAAAATGAATGGCAGAGTCTCATTTTCGGGAGACCCAGAGATATACAGAAAACTGTACCTGCTCGCCCAGTAACCGGAAAGGCGAGGCGGGGGTTTGGTGCCCGTCTCGTGCCCCCTAGCCCAGGATGCCCAAGCCCTCAGCCCTCACGGGTCCCAGGAGCGCTTGTGTCCAGCCCCACGCCTCACCTCCTGCATGCGGATGAGGAAGGCATCGATGAAGTCCCGGGGCCACGCGGGGTCCAGAGACTCCTCGTGCTCTCTCACTATGCGGGCCACAAATTCCTTCTGCTTCTCGAAGACCTCGAAGAGCCGGTTGTGTGGCCCAGGGAGGTGCCGCAGCAGAGCTGGGAAAAGGCTATACACCTTGGGGGCAGGAAGAGGCCACGGAGAGGAAGTCTCGCACCTGCTGTTCCTGCTCTGAAACACTGTTTTCCACGGGCTCACTCTGGCTGGTGAAATCCTGCTCATCGCCGAGGTCAGTGTCCCTCATCTCCAGGAAACCTTCTGACTCTAACAGACCCCGGCTGACTGAGATTTGACCCTGACCCCCCGTTCGTGCTCCCCATTCCAGTTCTGACCAGGGCCCTGCCCCTCCATGACCCCTCTGCCTGCCTCCCCCACCCACACACGGTCTACTCTCAGCTGTCTCTGTGCCGCGACTGTTCCGTCTCCCCTCTCTGGGGTGAGAGCCAGAGGGGACAGGGCCCCCGCTGTCATGCACCCCTGCACCCCAGCTCCCCAGCACAGGTTGGTGGGAGGAGCGGGTCAGTGGACATGGACCCCCCGTGCCTCAGCCCTGAGCGCTCCGGCCACCCATGCCCGGGCTGGGATCTGTGTAGCCCTGGATGAGTGTCGCAGGAGGACAGGGCAGGGCTGTGGCGACCTGCAGAGTCGCTAGCTCTCAGCAAGGCGTTGGGCACAGCATAAAGGTTCATGACAGACACAGAAGTGAAGGGTGGGGCCCTGGAGGAAGGACGTGTGGCTGGTGGGGCTTCAGATACCTGCACCCAAAATGTGTCCACCTGCTTCAGGTTTTCCGCCAGCAGCCACAGGAAGGTCTTGAAGTCCTCATCTTGGTAGTCAAAACGACGGCCGAAGACCACGGAGCAGATGATGTTGGAGACGGAGCGCCGGATTGGGAAGGTGGGGTCAAAGGGTGTGCCTGTGGGAGCTGAGAGATTAATGCTCCCCATCGCTGCTCCCCCTCCCAGCACACATGGAACCATACCACTCCCCTGCTCAAGGGCCCTCGGGACAGTTCAAGTTCTTGGCATGAAGCAGAGGCCTGACGTGGTTGGCTCCTAGGATCACCCCAGTCTTCCCCTCACTTCCTTCCATGCTCAAGCCTCTAGAGAAGATGGAACTTTCTCCAGTTCCTCCAGAGCACTGAATTCTCTCATCTCTGGCTGTCTGGCTGGTCTGTCGTCTCCCACATGGAGTGATTTTTACTCATCCTGAAGTGTCAGCTTGGATACCGCCTCCAAGAGGCCGTCTCTGACTGTCAATTCCGGGCCTGGCCAAGGGCCTCCTCTGGGCTTTGCCCACCATGGTCCAGCCACAGCAGCCGGCGCCATGATGGGAGAAGCTCAGGGGTCTTGGGAGCCCAGGGGAGGCTCCGGACCCAGGTTAGAGTGGGGCTGGGCAGCAGGGGCCGGTGGCTTCCTGGAGGACTGTCTAAGCTGAGGCCTGAGCTGGAGTGGCAGGCGGAGTCAAACGAGAAAGAGGAAAGCACGTCCAGGCCCAGGGTTTGGCCCACGCGTGCAGAGGCCTCAAGCCCTCTGTCAGGGAGGTCCGGCTTGGGCAGTGCAAAGGCACAGCCCTCTAAGGGGCATCAGTGACGTTGTCGATAAATGCATATAAACCGATGCATGTATCTGTTACAACGTTCTGGCAGATGGCAGTCAGGTGTCTTGAGAAGGAGGCATTTTTCCTAATTCACAGAGGGGCACCGCACGGCCTGGCGGCTGCCCTGTCCTCAAAGGTTCCCAAAGGTGTGAAACTTAGCTGCACGAGTCCGGTAAAGATCTTCAGCGTCAACCACCCACATGTGCCTGCACTCTCGCAGGGTCTGTGGGAAAAGCTGAGTTCAGATCTTGCTCAGTCAGGCTATATGTTAAGTCAGGAGTCCCAGGGGCACGTTCTAGAGCCCGTGGGAGGTTGGAATCACCTGCTGGAAAATGGTGACTGAATCCAAGGGCTCTTGAGAGTGATGAGAAACTGAAGCCCCAGAGAGGGGAGAAGAGCTGAGCTTCACACACACACACACACACACACACACACACACACACACACACACACACA